CCCTACCTACCTACCTACACTCTCCCTACCTACCTACCTACACTCTCCCTACCTCCCTACCTACTGTATTTCTCTCTCTTTCTCTCTCTCCCTTCATCTACCTACCTAACTAACTACTCTCTCTCTCTCCCTCCCTCCCTACCTACTGTATTTCTCTCTCTTTCTCTCCCTCTCTATCCCTCTATCTACCTACCTACTTAAAAAAAAAGCCTCTTCAAAACCTGGGTGCGTCTTATACTCTGATGCATCTTATACTCCGAAAAATACGGTAGTTAAATTTTCAGCTATTCTTCATTAAAATGATGGTATCCGATGCCCTTTTTTTCTGCTATATAGTTTGATATCAACAGTTAGAAATTAGGAATCTGAATGATAGAAATGTAAATGTAATTTTCAATTTTACAGGCAACTACAAATTGATAGGATCTTTGACAGAACACTATCACGAAAAGATTATGCTGTCTTTTTGAAATTTGAAGCTGTAGGAAGCAAAGATGATTTTTTACACACAATGCTTGGTGCTGAAATACCCATCCAAGGTATGGTATTGGTAAATACTGAATTAAGTGTAAAATCAATGTATTTTATAGGAAAAGTATTGAGATCAATATATGTATTGTTAAAAAACATAAAGTTAATTTCTTGATGAGCGTCTAATAACATGTTCCTCTTTTTAATTAATGTTGTGTATAGATAAATATTTTTTGAAGTTTGTACAGCTGTAATAATGATCTCATGGAATTATTTATATATTTCATTAGATAAAAATTATAACCCAATATTATCCCTGATAATATTGATCATGATTATTGTATTCTATGGAATTTCTTGAAAGTACTTTAATTCATATGGACAAAGTAACATTTCTGATCACTTATGCAGCTTTTGAGTGGCCACTATTTTGTTAGCCTTTCTGAAATTATAAATTCTGGTGGTAGATGGGACTGCCAAACATCACAGTTTGAGTACTGTTGAATGTTATGATGAACATTTCTACTAGAATAAATTTGAAAATGCATTATAACAATAGAGTATGTGTAGAGTTGTTTAAGATTGTTTGAAACTATAGGTTGTGCATAAATTTCCATAGGATACTGGGAATCTTGAACATTTGAACTATATTTGGAAATCACAGTTATTTGATACTGCTTAACTCTAGAATATAAATCTTTATGTATTCTTCATGACAAGAATCAAAGATATTGTATTGACCATTATTTCATTTCAATTTTAACCTGGAAACTCATTAAGTTAAAGCATTCATGAGCTATGTATTGGTTTTTGCAACCTGATTACTTGTTTTAATGAATAAACATGTCAACATAGATAATTTAATGTTACAACTGCATTTAGAAATATTGGTCATTTTACCCAAATAAGATTTGTTTGTTAAGTCATTTTAAGCTAGATTTTTTTGAAGACTCCTGGCTTGTTTTAATGTAGCTAACTGTGTAACTCCATCGTCAACATTACATTAAGCTAATCATCCTAGTTTCTGTTTTTGTTCCTTATGCTCAAAGATAAAAATGATACATGATTATGGCTATCATTTTTGCTTTGATGAGTTCTTAAATACTTACAGAAAGATCCCATTTCATGCTTTGCAGAGGATGCTAGACATTAATATAAACAAATGACTTAGCAATTTCCTTGTTGTCTAGAGTCAAAATTAATCTGACAAGGTAGACTGAGGTACTGTTAGTCAATCTACTCCCAACTCTCCTCTCTCCATTTAATTATATCTGTTAGTTCAGCAGGATTAAAAAGTCACCTACATTTGCTGTAGTTAATAAAAGCTTTCTTTCAGGAGTTTTCCACTTAAGGCAGCAACTCCATAGCTTTACCATTTGAGTGCAACCATCTGTTTTCAAGAATGCTTTATTATGTGAACAGTTCTTTGGAGAACAGATTTTTATTGTTACAGTGTTTCCCTGAAAATAAGACCCAGCCTTATATTTGGAGGCCCTCCAAAATAAAGATTAGGGCTTATTTTCGGGGAAACACGATATCAGGGTAATCAGCCTGGCTAGGCATCTTGCCCCTGATGCATGCACAAGAGGCGAGGGGACTGATGGTATCTGGCAGCAGCTGCAGCCCTTGGTCGGTGCACTCTGGCACTGTGCAACCTGCACGGCGCAGGTGAGTTGATTCCCTGTCCAAGCAGCAGACAGAGACAGAGTCATAGGGAGATGCAGGTGATCCAGACACACAATGAGGCTGCGGTAAAGCTGAGAATTGATGGGCTAGAGCAGGAGGCTGGCTGTGGGAGACTCTTTTTCATGCAGCAGCAATGGCAGCAGATGGAGGCAGAGGTGCAGGGCGGAAGGCAGTTGATACTGATGTACCACGCATGCAGCAGGCAAGCTGAGAGACATGAAGACAGGCCTCCTGCGGCTGCTTGCTCCAGCCCACCGACTCTCAGCTTCTCCACAGTCTGCATCCAGATTGCAACCCTCCCTCCACCTCTGCTTCTGCCTGCTGCTTAGACAGGTAATCAACTTACCTGCACTACACATGCAGCTGCTGCTGCTGGACATCATTGGCCCATGCTCACTCAACACCTCCTGTGCTGGCCATACCCACTCCCTTCACTGGGGCTTATTTTTTGGGGGTAGGGCTTATTTTCGGGAAAACATGTTATAGAACAAGTTCTATTTAAAATTATTGTTGCATTAGAGAACAATATTTCTATTTGTAATGCATTATTATTTGCTCCTTTATAGCAGTATATCCTATGAAAACTTACTGATATATTGTTACTCTCTTTACAACATACAATAGTTCTTCCATCTTAATATCTTTTTCAGGGAATCCCCACTGTGTTGAACTGGGTTTGATAGGCTCAGGGCTTCCAGTCATGTTGACATTCATCCCAGGACCAGTTATCAGTTTCAAAGAATGTTATATTGGTGAACACACAGATCTTGTTTGCACACTCCAAAATGAATGTGATGTTCTTCCAGTGACATTTGTTTTTCATAAGATTGCACATTATAATATTTGCCCCGAAAAGGGAAAAATAAAAGGAAAGTCTGTAAAGGTATTCACATATTTTCTTTCATTCTTTATTTATGTGTATCTAAATAAAGCAGCTGCTGCTTTTCTGTTCTTGTCTTTAACCATGGCAAAGGAGAGAATGTAACACAATTTGTCGCACACATCACCACTTTCCATTATTAGCACTAAATCCCTTTTCTCTTCTTCATTTTTTGGCTAAACTACATTAGCCATTTTATTGCTTCCATATGCTTCTCCTCTCATTACTGTCCACAATATTTGAATTGTAACTTATTTTCTTCTATGTAGTAGTTACAATTATTTTCTTTATATTTATCTCTCATATAATTCATCAATTACAAGCTTATACTCAATTCTAAATTATGTTTTCTTATTTTGTATCCTCCTTATTTCCTATTTTCTTTGTATCCTGCTCAGCTGTATTTTGCTGGTGTTCATTCACATCCTTAATCTTTTTCTTCAGCTGCTGAATGGAATGCTCTCTTCTTTTTTGTTTCCTAGTGAGATTCAATTTTTTACAATATTTTATTAAATTATTTAAAGCAATAAGCAGCTAATTTCCAATTTACTTCTCTCATTTTATTTTATCATTTGTTTAGCTCCTCAGCTTCTCTCTTTCATTATCCATTTGTATATTTAATTGGTATGTCTATTTCATATGTGAAACAGAACATGATAATGTATCATTCAATTCCATTGCATCATTTCAATTTTTTTCTTTACAGATTTTAATTTTTAAAAATATAAGAAACCAAATTAAAGTTTTAAGAGTGAGAGTAAGCATAATGTAACAAATGGAACTTTTTATAGCTTGCATTAACTTTTGTGTCCTTTTTAATGTGTTTAATACTTTTGTGGGTTTTTTTGTTTTGTTTTCAGGATGTGATATTTTCATTTATCCCACGACATATAGGATCCTTCACAGTGAGGCAGAAAGTAGATATTATAGGACCAGTAGCAAAAAAAGATGACTTTCCAGTTTTAGAGATGAAACCATTTCATCAAATACATTTAGTTTTTTCTGGCCTCTGCAAGTCGGTATCCACTAATGTGCTGAAAACCAACCCTGGTATGTTATTAATTAAAAAATGCTAAGTTTTTACTTAGAAATGTATTTCTTTCTGAGAAACAATTTTGACATTTTCCCAAGACAGATGTGATCTATGTATCATCTGAAATGATAGACTTCCAAAATGCTGTCTTTATGAAGAAGTAACTGATTTAAACTATTAATTTTGAAAATTATGTGGAGATCCATGTAGCTTAACATAAATGAGTTTTAGTTATCAGTTAAGCTTATTTGTAAGCATTGATTTCATTCCCCTGAGACTAATATGCCTTTTAGGATAAGTCGGATACCAGATATCTCCAGGACGAGATAATGGCGAGATGGGAAAGGTTTGAAAAGCTATCTCTTTTTCTGGTGATTTTTTAAAAAACTAAATAGAAAATTTTAATGTCTCATTTACATTTTTAAACATGTTGGTTTAATTTCCTGTGTGGTTGGGAGCTGCTGATATTAGTTTTAGCCTTTTTCTTTTACAATTTATAATAAGCTTAGCTTCATAGCTTCATATACCTCTTCATAGTACTTTACATCCCTCTCTAAGCGGTTTACTCCCAACAATCTTGAGTCCTCGGTTTTACCGAACTTAGAAGGATGGAAGGCTGAGTCATCCTTGAACCGGTCAGAATTTGAGTCCTAGCAAGTGAGCAGTGAGTTGCAATACTGCATACTAACCACTGCACCACATGTCTGTAATCTAAGTGCTATTATAATCTGCTTTTTGGGGGGTTGGACATGAAAAATATACCATTATGTTTTATTTCCATTTGAAATCTAGGAGAACACGTAGTTCAATTTTCTTCAGATTAAATTGCATTATTTACCTAAAAGTGATAGTGTTAAAATCCCTAGTTATTTAGAAAAACCACAACTATTAAAACTATTGAAACAGCCATAGCACTCCTCACTCCGCAACCAATGCAGATGGGACACCCTACAAGAAAAACTACAAGAACATTATGCACCCAGGCCATCCTGCATCGCCCACAGGCACATATACTATCACCGGAACCAGGCAGAGGGCCGAGGTCACCTGACACGCAAACAAGGACTGAACAATTGCACGGGTACTCAACTGGATGTGGAGGGAGTGGCCCAAGGAACCAGTAAGCACAGAGTTCAAGCCATTTTATACCCGGCAACATGAACTGTCCGTTCAATGGGGCTGTTTACTGTGGAGAAACCGTGTAGTGATTCCCCCTAAACTAAGGCAACCCATTCTGAAATCGTTGCATGATGACCACCCCGGAATTGTGAAGATGAAGGTGTTGGCCCGGATCTATGTTTGGTGGCCCAACCTGGACAGTGCTACTGTAGAATGGGTCGCATTGTGTCAAGAGTCAAGGCCAGAACCCCCATCGGTGCCAACATGGGAGTGGAAAACACCCACGACACCGTGGTCCAGGGTATACCTCGATTTCGCGGGACCATTCCTCATCTTGGTTGACTCCTACTCAAAATGGCTTGAGGTAACCCTGATGGTATCCTCTACAACAGAAACTCACCTGAGCACTCCAGAAGATGTTCGTGACATATGGACTGCTGGATGTCCTGGTGTCGGACAATGGGCCACAGTTCACTGCAACCCAGTTCAAACTGTTTTTGGCAAGCCAGTGGATCTACCATGCTATCATCGTGCCATTCCACAGAGCCAACAATGGACAAGCAATGGCAAGACGGCAACCAAGCATTGCAGAATGGAGAGGAAGAGGAGACCATGCATCATTACCTGTAGGACTGAATCCCGCGATACCAGAGTGAACTGCCACTGAAGTCCCACCACTGCAGCAGACAATCCCAGATGAAGGCTCTGCCCAAACGACTCCTGGAGAGGTCTTTGACCAACCATCCGTTTCCCATGCCGACTCTTTACGAATGAGGAGAGAATAAGAAGACTCCGCCCAAGCACCTGCTGCTCCCACTGGCTCATTGAGAATGGAGGAGTGAATGCACACCTGCTGTCGACCTGCATACTTGGAAGACTCCGCCTGTAGTGTAAAGACTGGAGACTGACAGCTCCCACTTGGTGGGGAGGGGTGTTGTGTATGCACATGCGCTGTTGAAAGGTTTCACTGCAGTCAGCACAAGGCATGGGAAAATACTTTGAATCCATTGGCTAATGGCTGACAGCCCTCTATATAGAGTGCTGTCAGCCTGCAGCCTTTGGCTATTACTAGTATATTGTTGTTCTATGCTTAATAAACACAAACTGTTACATCTGCCAGCTTCCACTCCATTCTTCGCCGAAGATCAGACAGAAGCCTTCTGCTTCAATTAATTTTCGAAATCATTTGATCATTATAGAAATATAACACATGAACACCAGCAGTGGTATTCTGCCAGTTTGCCCGGTTTGGTGAACCAGTAGCGGCAGCGGGGGGCTCCACCCACCCAGCCAGACATCATCATGGGCACTCTGCACATGCTCAGGAGTGCTGCGGGTGAGCGAAGCGTGCATGCAAGGTGCGCACGCTCCTGGTAGCGAGGGTAAGAGGATTTCTGATGAACACACACACACAAAATGATTTAGTTTGATGATCTCTTTTTGGTGTTTTATGCTTGCCTGGTTTTAGGAATAAGAAATGAAATTAATTTATGCATAAACTGTGAAACATATTACCATAAAATAGAAATATTTTGTATATGTATAGTATATTTTGAAATTTAAGTTCTGTGTAATATCTTTAATTTAGCTATTTTAATGATGCAATTTATTTATTTTCTTTGTGTTTGTTTTCTCCAATCAATTTTATTGAAACTCATGTTAAAAAGTTCAGTCTCAAAAATTGTTACATTATAAGAGGTTAGATGTGGATATGATTCTTTTTTTTATTAAAAGTTTTAAAAAAGGTTTTACAAATATATACTTCCTCTCCCCCACCCAAACCCACCTCCCCCCTAACCTCCCCTCCTCAACCTCCCAGAGCAAATACAGGGTATAAATCTTTAACAACCATATTCTAAAATAAACTAACAGACTTTAGCATCCCTCACTTGTACTTTAACTCCCCTTTTATTAAGCTAACTCTAAACAAATTATATCATTCCTTGCTCATTCAATCATAAGCTATCTGGAGTTTCTTAGTCCCATATTTATTTTGAATATAATCAATCCATCCTCCCCATTCCAGCTTATATTTCTCGTCTGAATGATCCTTGAGATATGCTGATATTTTAGCCATCTCCGCTAAGTTTGTTACTTTTAATGTCCATTTTTGAATAGTAGGAAATCTTCCGTCTTCCAGT